ATTTTACCTCTTGATTGCCCTCCTAACCACTTCTGTGCAATGCTCAGATGCCTAATTATTGTCTTGTACATATCAAAAGCAATGCAATCACACCTGGCAACTAGGCTGGGAGACATAGGCACACTATGTGAATGGCTTAGGAAATTCCTATGTCTCTGATCTCTCCTCTGAGGAGATGAGGGGAGAGAAAAAAATACAAGCAACTTCTGTAGGCAATCTTTGCCTGATCCCTTCCCACTATAGGTATGATCGTATTCCTTTCTAATGTAGAAGAACAAACTGCTTACTGTCTTGCAATCCCTTTTTCTCCAATCTCTCTGTTCTGCAAGAGTGGTGAGGGAGAAAAAACACAAGTTAGGCACAAGATAACATGTACTAACTATAATGGTGATCACGTGACCAAGAGATGCTGTGAAAATCATAAATTGGTGTAAAGTTCTTTTTTCAGCACTATCATACCTTTGAACAGTTACTGAACAAATAAGTGAAGACAACTGGTATTTTTAAATATTATACATATGCAGATAAGGAGATAAAGGCCATGAAGTCATAATTATCTACAACAGAAAACAACAGCCACATAGCAAAGAAGCTGAAATTTAGTTATCCAATAATATTTAACAATAAGTTGTTAATCAGAATGTATTTGTCCGCCACATACTACCAAATTATAGTCAAAATGTGATTAAGGTGTGCTGACCATTTCTTCTAAAGCTCTCTTTTGAATACTGAAGGGACATTCAGCATTGAAAACTGAAGGGACAGAGACATTCCATCATTTCTCCTGGAAGTCTTTATGAACTGTCCTCACCATTCTGAGGGCATATGCTGTCTGTAAAGCAGTTGTTGCTATTTTGTGTACAGTAGAAAAACAGTTCCAAGTATTGTAATTCAGGAGTTTTACAAAGAAATTATCCATGTGAGCTCTTGCTTATTTTCATGAATTTGATGTTCATTAAAGTAGTAATTAATTTGAAATGTCAAATAAGTTGACTTATTTACATATCTACGTAACTGTACAGCTTCCTTATTTAGAAAAAAGATACTACCATCATAGCTGTGATCCACATAACTGCATGCCCTATGTCGTAAGCATTTGTTAGGAATCGTGGAACCATCATCTGATTGCTTCCTACTGGAAGATTCAAGCTACGCAGTATTCTAGTAAATATCTGCAGAAAAGGACATTGGGAAATTAAATAACAAAACTTCATCATGAATATTTGAACTTTGTTATACAATTGATCAGACAATTGAAACCCTTCACGTTCAAAACCCAATCTCCAAAATACTCAATTTATAAACAAAAGCTTGATTAAAAGAGATGTCATTATAGCAATAGCAATAGCAATAGCAGTAGACTTATATACCGCTTCATAGGCCTTTCAGGCCTCTCTAAGCGGTTTACAGAGAGTCAGCATAAAAGAGATGTCATTGCTACAGAACTAATGGGAAACTCTCCAAATTAAACTCATACGGTGGAAAACTGAAATTTCTGCTTTAGAAATCTATATTGAGATGTCTCTTTATTAATGCACATTTGCTATTGCACAGCAGCCACTTTCACATCTTGACAAATTGTTGACTGGCATGCATGCAGGCCAAAAGCATATGGAAAGCATCTACATAACTTGCT